TCTCCTATTCTCCTCCAAGTCCTCTCTCTACCTTTTTCCACCAAAAAAATTCAACAGTTTCTACTCAAGTTATTCTCTGAAGATTCTATAGGAAAATTTTAAAGTGGTGAAAAGAGTAGGTAGGATTTTTACCAAATTTTCCTTTCTAATGTCTCACCTGTATATTGGTTGTTTCCCTTCTGCATTTGTTGCATTTGTTGGAGGTATTGTTATGTTGGAGGAATTGTGATGTGTTTTGTGGTGACTGTTGCAGGTATGGCTCAAGGAAATCACAACCAGGAAGGGAAAAACAAGAAACAAGATGCAAAGGAAAAGAAGAAACAAGTTAAAACAGGGGATGCTAATCAAACTTACTTGTGTAAGACATGCAAGGAGACTAATTTTGCATCAACTGCAGCACTCGATGCTCATACTAATAGGCACTTTGGCTCGAAAAATGTCAAAATTCACAACACAGGCAAAAACAAATGAGTGAAATTGGAAGGGGTGGAACCCCAATTTCCATGATTGCTGTAATACCCCAAAATTTTGTGCTATTTTAGCATTTAAGTAAGGGTTTTTGTGTGAGAAAAATATTGTTTTGGGCTTAATAGCCGAAATGTCCAAAGTTGAGGGATTTAAAGAGGGAAAATAATTGGATAAGGATCAGTTTCTTTTCTTTTTCTTTTTCCTTCTTTTCTTCCCCAGCCATTTCCCGATTCTGCTCTTCTTTTTCCCGCTGCAGCCGAACAAAGCCCCCAAGCTGCCGGCGACTTCCTCCCTTGAAAAACCGGTAAAGCTTGATGATTTTCCCTTATTTTCTTGTCCAAGAACCTGATTTAGAACCCAGAAATCTCTCCCTCTCTGCAGGAACCCAGATCTGGTCGGTTCTCCCTTCCCCTGTCCGTGAGCTACAGCTTGTGGGTGGGTGATTTCTGGGCATGTTTTCGGCCGTGAGCTTCTTCTCCAAATTGCCGCCGGCTTCTCTTCCCCCTGCAGCTCCGGTTTTAGCTGGAGAATTATGGTATGTTGACAGCCATTTAAGCTTGAAATTAGCCATCTAATTGCTACCCTATTGTTGTCCGAATTTGGCTGAAAATGGGGGATAATTCTGGTAACTTTAGGATGAGATTTAAGCATTAATTCAAGTGGGATTTATGTGATTGAGTGTTAGATGGTTGTTGTGATTTTTGGAGAAAACCCCGTGAGATTAGCTAGTGTGTTGGCCAATTTTTGGAAGTGCAGTTACTGTTCACGTCGGGGGGTACTGTTCACAGGTTACTGTTCACACCCCGAGGGCCAACATTTAACGGGAATTTAAGTGATTAGTTTGTGATATAAGAACGAATTTGGAGATATTTGATCATGTGGAGAGTGATAGAAATAGCATTGTGATTAGGAATGATCCTAATGATGATTTCAGTTTGAATTTGTGATAGTCCGATATTAATTCTCGGATGTTTTGATTAGGTTCTTGATCGTTCTGTCAGTTAGCA